CCTTCCTTCCTTCCTTCCTTCCTTCCTTCCTTCCTTCCTTCCTTCCTCCATCCCTTCCTTCCTCCGTCCCTTCCTTCCTTCGCTTCTCCTCCCACTCCCTTTTCTTCTGTTAGGGCAAATGGCACCAATTATTTTATTATATTTGTAATTACTTCTTGTTTGTATGGAAGAACTATCAATTGTCACTTTGTAAGCCTGGATCATGTAACTGGATCAGGAAAACTCATGAAAACTCATGAAAATCTAATCTTCCTTCCCTTGTTGCAGTTATGTACAATCCCCATATGTTGGGAGGGAGCCTGGGTGGCTCGGTTGATTAAGCGTCTGCCTTCCAAGCTCAGGTCATGATCCCAGGGTCCTGGGATCGAGCCCAGCATTGGGCTCCCTGCTTAGCGGGGAGTCTGCTTCTCCCTCTGCCTCTGCCTGCCACTTTGCCTACTTGTGCTCTCTCTCTCTCTGTCAAATAAATAAAGTCTTTAAAAAAAAACCAACAACAATCCTCATATGTTGGAAGTAGATACACTGAATCAAGAGTCTTAGAAGAGAAACCCCTGAGGTGACAGTAGCCTGAGAGCAATTGGGGAGAGAACAGATGTGATCCAGAAAAGAGCACACTGTGAATGAAGTGACTGGGGTAACACCCAAAAAGTAGGTTGATTAGGAATTGCACCAGCAAAAAATTGTTGGATATGATCAAAGTTGTACACAGGCAAATTTAAGGTGTTATATGCTTTCTATAAATACAAGGACCTTTTCTTGAAAAAAATAATAAAAACATAATAATAATAATAATAATAATATAATTATTATTTTTTATTATAAAAAATAATAGAAACAAAATAAGTAAAATTAAGACTAGTGTTTTATTAAAGCAAACAAAATTAGAAAAGGAAAATATGGTAACATTATAGAGCTTTTTATTATTTAAAAACAAAATCCTATGTACCTATGCCAATAAAATGGAAAATGAATGGTTTGGGAGAAAATATAAATGAGAAAAAGTAGCAAAAGAATGAAAGCTACTCAAGTCATTTTTTAGAACTAGCATAACCTAAACAAACAAACAAATAAATAAAAACTAGCATTACCCTGACACCAGAACCAATGGGTAAGGCTTGGGGACCAAATAGCCTGGCTGGTATCTTTTTAACCAACATTTACTTCGTTCTTACTCATGGCAGATGTGGTTCTGAGCATTTCACAATTAATCCATGTAATTCTCATATGGGCCCAATGAGGGAGGGATTACTATTATCCTTATTTTACAGATGAGCAAACTGAAGAAATTCAGAGGTTAAGGAACATGTCTGCTCCCAATGTCACACAGGTGGCATGTGATGGCATGGAGAGGTGGCACGAAATAGTGTCCTAAAGCGTGTCCTCTACTGCCAACGTGCCCCATTTCACATCCTGTTTCACCATGTTCTAATTGTAGGAAGACAATTTTTAACCCTTTTGTGCTTCAGTTATCAAATGTGTAAGCCTGAGAAATGAATAAGTAATTGTATAGTTTAGAACAGTGTCTGAACATAGCAGACACCCCTTAAACATAATGCAATTGTTACTGCTATTAGTACTAAAATGGGACACAGAATACATGAAAATATATCATTCACATATATGTACAAAGTTTAATTTCCTGATACCTAAAATATCAGAAAATCCAAGAATTTAATTAAGTATACTAATGTATACTTTGGTTTTTCTTTTTTAAAAATTTAATTTATTTTTTTAATTTAAATTTTTTTCACGTACAGTGTTCTATCAGGTATACAATATAGTGATTCAACAATTCCATATATCACCCAAGTGATATCGTAAACTCATCATCACAAATACACTCCTTAATCCCATCACCTATTTATCCCACCCTTTACTAACCATCAGTTTGTTCTGTATAGTTAAGAGTGGTTTTTTTTTTTAAGACTTTATTTATTTTGACAGAGAGAGACACAGCGAGAGAGGGAACACAAGCAGGGGGAGTGGGAGAGGGAGAAGCAGGCTTCCCGCAGAGCAGGGAGCCCGATGTGGGGCTCGATCCCAGGACCCTGGGATCAGGGCCTGAGCCGAAGGCAGATGCTTAACGACTGAGCCACCCAGGTGCCCCTAGAGAGTGTTT